TTGTCTTCATTGTGAGCTCCTTGGAGCACAGAATCTATCCCTGGTGTCGCATACCTAGAACAGTGCTTTGTGCACAGCACAGGTTCAATAAGTATATGATTGACAACCATGGAGGGTATGGAGAAGGGGTTCCTGGATATTGCAGGTGTGAATCATTCAGCTGTCATAGATCTCTCAGTTGCTCTGAGAGCCTCATAGGACGGTGGAGGTATAGCTCACAGGGGAACACGTGATTATTGGCTTACTTGCTTAGGGAGCTGCATCCTGAGGGGGTCTCTCTTAATGTTTTGTAGACGAAAGAGTCATCTCTGAGACAGAGTACATCTAATGATGATGATGACGCCATAAGAATGAATGTGTGTTTATCCAGTAGTCATTCAGGAGCACGTTGTTCAGTTTCCAGGCAGTTGTGCGGTTTGAAATATTTCTTTTGAGATTTGACCCAAAGAGTGCTTCTAAACAGCAGAATCAACAGAGTTTGATTTACATAATTTGATGTTGTCCTTTGATGAGCAAATGGCAGAAACCCTGGACAGGGCTGATCTGTGCTGCCTATCTTTAGTCAACGTGGTTCGCTCTCTCCAAATGCCATAGATGAGGTTACAAACAGCAGATATTTATTTTCTCAGAGTCCTGGAGCCCGCAAGTTCAAGATCAATGTGGGTCTGCAGGGTGGGCTTCCCCTGAGGCCTCCCTTTTTGGCTTGAGATGGCCACCCTCCTTCTGTGTCATGACATGGCCTTTCTTCCCTATGCCCACATCCCTGGGGACACTATCCATTCTTATGAGGATTTCAATCCTATAGGATTAGGACCCAACCTTATAAGCCCCTTAACCTTAATTACCTCTTTAAAGGTCCTACCTCCAAATATTGTCACATTCAGGGTTAGGACTTCAGCCCATCAAATTTGGAGTCCTGGAAGTAAGAGGCACATTGATCTTACAGAGTTGAGCCACTGTCCTGTTCAGGAGGGGACACAATTTGGGCATTTTATGTGCCTTTACCATGGGCCAACAGTTCTCTTGGAGGGGATCATCTGGCTTATGGTTCTTTAGTTTCTTGTGGAAACGTCTCTACTATTATTGCAGCTGATGAGTTCCTGACAACACAGACAGTTCCCACCTTCCTGAATTCTCTCACTCGATCAGGAAAACAAAAATGTCAAGGCTTGATTTGGACTATTCCAGTTTAATAAATAACTCTCCTTCATTCCCTCTGGAATTCAGAGCTACTGATGAAAATGAATGAATGAAGGAATGAGGACAGTGTTCGATAGAGAATTATGCATTACTTCAATTGCTCCTAAATTTGAACTGGAGAATGTGGCTTGGATGTCAAAAAAGTTGACTTCCAAAAGTGCCCCTAAAATGGTACCTGCTCCAGAGGATCTCATCCCTCCTCCCTCTTCCTGCCCATCTCTCTCTGGAGGGAAGTAGTCCTTCTGGGGAACTCACCACCCACTGCAGAAGGGAGCACTCACTCCAGGTTATTCTTCCAAACTCACTCATCAGATTCCTCCTTTCTCCCATGGGAGGGAAGGAGGGGAAAGAGAGAGAGCGAGCCCAGGGCTTAAAATAGACCTGAGATTCTGAGTCTTAAATAGTATTGAGAAACTCAAAGAACTTTTGTTGATCAGGGTTATATCTTTCAATAAATATTTATAGTATTCTCAGAACTTTACAAATCTTTACTAAATAACTTCTTTGGAATATCGATTATACCTATTCCATGGAAACTTGAATAAATTTTAGAAAAAATAACCATATTTTCTTTAACATGGTACATTATCATGAAGAGCAAGATGGTTTTATATTGTACAGACCTCTTAGAGACTGACAGTTTGGGACTGGCAATTCCTGCTGCCCTGCCTACTGAAGGACTTCCGAGGTCCAGTTTGAAAACGGGAAACCTTCCACAACTTTTCAAATACAGGGTTTCTCTGATAGAAATCTGGTTAGCTCTGCTCCACTTCTCCAG